AAGACAAATAATATTTAAAAAAAATAAATATTCCTAACAAAATAATTAAAATAATTATATATTTACGGATGTAGCTTAAATTTTATCCCTATAATTACAAGTTTTTTAGATAAAGAAAAATATCCAACTCATTTTATGTGATAAGAGGAAAAATTTACTAGTGCAAAATTAAAGTATTAAAATATTATTAAAGATCTATCGATTAGGTTGTTTGGATTGAAGATTATTTGAAATTTTTTTTTAGAATAATAGCACTTTTGCCATTTGATATTTGCAAGATAAAAAAATGATTGAAAAATAAAAAAAATGATTGAAAATATATTTATGACGTAACAAATTTTTTTCAAAAGAATTAGCAATCCACATAAATTTTAATTGCATCTAAATATGGTATATTAAAAGAATAACCCTAGAAATTTTGAAATCCAAATCAATGATGTTTCTATCTTCTTTTAGTATAACCAACAATATATATATACTAGGCTTGGTGTCCCGCGGTTCCGCGGGATGTCCATTATTGAGTATCTTGGGGTAATATAAGATTTATTTACTAACATAGACTTAGAGTATTTTGTATGATAATAGAATTGGAATAGTAGATAGAAGAGTGATATATTGGATTGATTTATTTATGAATAGATATAGTAAAATTGATGTGATTTGTATTGTGTTTTTTTAAATTAATATGATCTGAAAATTTGATAGGTAATATTGGTTTCAAAAAATTTTGTTTTTTGATTTTAATTTAGTGACAAGTAAATATTATCTAAATTAATGGAATAAATATTTTATTTTTTAAAGTTGATAGGATGAAAAATTAGGTGGAGAATTACATTAAGAGTGTTATAATTTATTGTACTTTGGGCATTGGTAGTTTATGTATTTTAGGATAATGATATTTTCATAATTTGGATAGCTAGGATGAGAGTGTGCATTGTTGCAGTGGAAAAGTCTATGGAAAGGATATAAAAGAATGAGAAGTTTGTTAAAAATTAAATGGATAATAGATATTTTTTTTGGCAAATTTTGATATAGTTTTGGTGTTGTGTGATGAGATAAATTAATAATTTGATATTATAGCTTGGTAAAATATGTGTTTATTAATTAAGTAGGTTTTTTTCGATAAGTAAAAATGATATTGATTTAGTAGTTCTGAATGAATGTGATTGAAATAGATGGAAGTTGTATTTTTTTTAATTAATAGAATCTGAATAAGTAAAGAATAATATTAATTTTGAGAGCTAGGAGATTTTATATTAATAGTTTATTGATAAATGGATATTATTGAAAGTAAGGTGATGTGTATAAATTTTTTTTATAAGAAATAGAAATGATTGAACATGAAAATTATAGAGTTTAATCACTATAATTTGCAGTAGAATTTTTAAATATTTATTGCTTGATGTTTATGTGACTTATTTTAGGTTACTCAAAGTTGTAGTGAATTTTGTATTAATATATAGATATACACATACAATATATTTTGTAATATGTATGTGTATATATATATATATGCGTGTGTGTGTGTGTTTAGTATTTTATTTTACGTGACATAGTGGTTTAATTTTTTTAGTGTTTATATATTTTGTGGTTTTGTTTGTTTGTTATATTTTTATTATTTATTTATTTATATGTGGGTATATATATATGTATATTCAATATTTTATTTGAGCTTTTATGATTGTTTAATATTGTTTTAGCATGTCTATCTTTTCTAGTTTTGTTTGTTTGTTGTATTTGTGGCATTCCTATTTGTCTTGTGATTCATGTGTCAATATGATTTTTTTTTTTGAGTTGCATCATGTATATTTTTGTCTATATATATATATAGGGGTGTGGTTTTAAGTCTTTGTATGTAAATTTCTAGTAGTTTGGTTATCTTTATTATAGTTTTAGAGAAAATTTTGTCTTTTTATTTTGGTTTTAAGTGGTATATTTTCTAATTTTTTAATTTTTGAAATATTATCGAAGTAACATTTTTTAAATTTACAAAAAATATCCTATATTTTAAAAAACAATTAGTCGTATTAATGCAAGCTAATATGAAGCGTACAATTGATTTATACTTATAATCAATATTTTTGTAGATATATATATTTTGCAAAAAATGAATATATATATAAAAGGGCACACAATTAATTATCACTTTGTATTGACCACATTTATGTTATGTTGCTCAATCTTAAAATGCAAAACCTTTAAATTAATAATTCATTAGTTAACAAATATTATGGAAGTTACATTTTTTAAATAGAGGGAAATTATCCTATATTTTTAAAAACCATTGATCGTATTAATGGAAGCTAATCAAAGTGGCACAATTGATTTATATTTATTAGATACACACAAAATTTCTGTCGATATATATATTTTCTAGAAAATCATTATTTTTGTCGACATATATATTTTGGAGAAAATGAATATATATATATATATATATATATATATATATATATAAAGGCACACAAATAGGATGCAAGAATATATATAGATTTGTATAGCCCAAAAAATTCGCGTCTACATTCAGGAATGTAAGGCAGCGGCTGCACAGTTACAACAAACAAAAGTAAAGAAACAATAATTAAGAGAGAATATCATCGAAGCGACATCTTTGAAATAGAGGGAAACTATCCTATATTTTTTAAAGCAAGCATCTAATTAATCGTCATTTTTATAGAGAATAAAAGTGATGTCCTAAAGAAATACTGTCAAATTAACATTTTTGAAATAGAGGAAAATTATCCTACATTTTTCAAAACAGGCATGTAATTAATCATCAGTTTTATAGAGAAGCATCCATTTTTATTCGTTTATAGACAAGTATCTAATTAACTATCACTTTGTATTCACTACATCTATGTTACATCACTCAATCTTAAAATGTAAAAGCTTTAAGGTAATAATTAAATAATTAACAAATATTGTTGAAGTAGCATTTTTATATCAATGTAAGCAAATACAAAGTGACACAATTGATTTATATTTATTAGGCACACAGGAAATTTTCGTCCATATATTTATTTTGTTGAGAAAATGAATATTTTTATAGACACAAAATTTTCGTCCATATATTTATCTTGCCGAGAAAATCAATATTTTTATTGATATATAAATTTTGCAAAAAATTAATATATATAAAAATGGACACAACTAATATATCTAGATTTGAATAGCCAAAAAAATTTGCGCGCTCATCTGGGAATTTAAGGTAGCAGCTGCGGGCCTAAAAAACAAAAGCAAAGAAACAATAATAAAGAGATAGGACAAGCTAAAGACCACAAAGTGCAAATTTGAGATATTAATTACAAAGAAACTAGGACAAAAGGGCATAATCAGAATATAAGGTGATAAAATCCAAAATGAGGACAGCAGCAACAGCGGACAATCAACTCCATAGCCGGCTCAAAAGACACAAAAGTCCAAAATCAGCCACACAATTGCATTGAAACCAGGACAATTAACTGTAGATGGAGTTTTGCAGCTTTATGTGGTTTAAGAAAGATAAGATAACACTTATTATATGTTAATACAAAGCGGTATAGTTGATTTAGATTTATTAGATATGCATAGAATTTTTGTTCATTTATATATATTACATGCACATAGGGTTTTCATTGATTTGCATGTTAATACAAAGTAGTACTATTGATTTATATTGATTAGATACACATAGAATTTTCATTGATTTGTATATATCACATTGATTGATCTATAAGGAAAATTTAAATTATGATTATTTGATATGAATAACACTTATTATACGTTAATATGAAGCAGTACAATCGATTTATATTTATCAGATACGCATAGAATTTTGTTCATTTGTATATATTACATACACATAGGATTTTCATTGATTTGCATGTTAATACAAAGTAGTACAATTGATTTATATTGATTAGATACACATAGAACTTTCATTGATTTGTATATATTAGATACACACAGAATTTTCACTTATTTGTATATTTTTTAGAAAATTTTAGAAAATCAATATTTTGGTCAATGTACACATTTTGGAGAGAGCTAATAAATATAAAAGGGTACGGAAAATTATAAACATAAAAACGCAGACAAAGAAAGTGACTGAAGATAGCAACAGCAGCAGTCAAAGATACAAGAAACAAAAGGACAAAATTGACTGCAAAATTACAACGAAACCAGGACAAGGGCACAATCGGAAGAAGGGAACAAAAGCAGAAATGAGGAAAAGCGCACCAGGAACCAAAGCCGCTGCATGGAGCCTTCCAAAAGACCAAAAAGGACGAAATGAGCCGCAAAATCACAGCGAAACCGGCACAATCAACTGTAGATGAAGCTTCCTCGCTTTATGTAGTTTAGATTTAGATATACACACACACACTCCCATATAAAAGAAATATCTAGCTATTAAAAGAAAAGTTTACCTATATGCACATTCACAAACAAAAATTGATAATATCTCAGTCATTTTTAAAATTTTAAATATATTTTATATTTTTATTTTTTTAATAACAATTTTTATTTTTCATTATTATGTCAAATTAGGGAGATATTTTCCTCAATCCAAAAAAGTGTAACTATTGAATGAAATTTAACTATGAGAAAAGAATAATGTTAAGGATGAAATGTAATAGTGACTATGCCTTAGGGAGAGTTTTTGTGAACAATGTTAGAGTTAATTAATAATTTAAAAAATAAAGTGAGAAAAAATAACATTAAAGGATGAAGTGCAAACGTCACCATACTGAGTTTTACTTACTAGCACGTTGAGCAGACTAAAACAAAACAACTATGTGTGAAAAGTTAAACTCCACAGTAACGGCAAAAAGTTCATTAATTTGATCACGAAAAATGTACCATAAACAAATGTTAGGGTGATGTGTAAATCTTTAGATCTGAAAGGGCGTCATTTTAATTAAAAACTAAAATTTCTTTTTCCTTTTACTCCCAATAAAGAAAAGAAAAGAAAAGAAAATCTCATGATCTTAATTACTACACAGTAGTGACATATAAATTCCCGGTTTTTCCTTTTTCCCCCCTCTTTCGCAAAACCCAGCAAGATTGACTCATAATTCCCTGTTTTCCACAAAGCTGAGCCATCCCACGTACATCCATGGAGACACGATCCCAGTTGAAAACCCATTACTGGGTTCGAGCTTCTCCGTCAGATTTTGGTGGCACACTTCCCCAACCCCGCAGGCAATGTTCCCTCTCTAATTTTCTTTAATGTTACATGGAATACTTGTAACACATGAATGGAAAAACTCAACTAGTCTTTGTTTGAAAATTTTTCAGTGGGCATACAGCTGTGAACATTGGGAAATCAAAGATTGTGGTGTTCGGAGGCTTAGTCGACAGGAAATTCCTCAGCGACCTCTTTGTTTATGATATCGGTATAATTACAAATTATGCTGTTCATGTTTTAGTTCAATTTCTTGATTTCCAACTGTTTCTTTGCCCCCTTTATTCTTTAAGTCTTGTGCAACTGCATAGCTAAATTGAGGCTCTCGATGATGTATATGTCTGGAATTTCCAGGGCTGTATAATGTACGAATGTATGCTTTTTAGTTCAACAAAAACTGGACGTTTATGCGAAATTTAACAAGGGTAATGGGTAAACGTGAAAGTAGTTCAAACCTCGTGTGGCTCGGCGATTGCGTGCCTATTTTATTAGTCAGGCTTTTAATGGGTTTACTAATTTATCAGTATACTTGTGGTTATACAAATTTTGATAGTTCATGTGGATGCAATGTCTGTGCACCTTTGACGCTAAATAGTAGTTTTGTGCTCGAATTTACTTGTCCAACTAAGAGTAAGATAGGGCTTTGGCTCACAAACCAATCTGGATGCGGATGCTACTGTTTGAGCTGATTAAGGCATTCATGGTTGGTGTAATTGCTTATCATGTGTATTTCAAACACTTTACATGGGGCTTTACTAGCATAGTGATGTGATGAAAGAGAGGTTTTCAAGTGTTAATGTTGAAAGATGGTCATTGTGAATATGTCAGAGAACAAATTGTGGTTTCAACCAGAGTGTACAGGCACTGGTTCTGATGGGCAAGTGGGTCCCAGACCACGAGCATTTCATATTGCCGTTGCAATTGACTGCCATATGTTCATCTTTGGTGGGAGGTCTGGAGGTAAAAGGTCAGCACCTCAATGCCTTTTTGTTGCTTGTCTATACATCTGTCTGTTGGTAAACCATATGTGGATGTAGTCTCTTAATCCATTAAATTATTGGATTTGCAGGCTGGGCGATTTTTGGGTCCTAGACACTGGTAAGTATTTTCATTTTGTAAATTTGATTGATTTTTGAGACCTATCTCTTCTTGTAACTTGTGAATGTATTCGAAAGTAAAACACCATGATTCCATATCTCTCTATTTTTTGAGTGTTGTAGATATTTGGCAATGGTCAGAACTTACCAGCTTTGGTGACTTGCCTTCGCCGAGGGATTTTGCTGCTGCTTCAGCCATTGGCAATCGTAAAATTGTAATGTTAGTTTCAGCTAACTACTTAAGTCAAGTGATTATTGTGTTAAATTGAGCTGTGGGCCTTGAGCAGGCTTAAAAAATGTGCAGGTATGGCGGCTGGGATGGTAAAAAATGGTTGTCAGACGTCTACGTTTTAGACACAAGTAATGTCTCAATTTAGCATTCTTAGTCCATTTTATTTCTTAGCATGCAAGGAGTAAGTGATGTAGCAACATGTTTAGTTCATTTGAAGGCATAAAGTGGTTTTTTTGCAGTTTCACTTGAGTGGATGGAGTTATCAGTTTCTGGAGTTTTACCCCCTCCAAGATGTGGACATACAGCCACTATGGTAGAGAAACGGTTGCTTGTCTATGGTGGCAGAGGTAATGGAGAATTGAGGACAATAGACCTTAAAACGCACATCTGGTGCTTGGAATTAGTTAATTCTTTCACTTTCACTATTTTGCATCAATTGTGTCCTATTTTGGATGTCAAATAGATTAACAATATGAGAGGGGTAATTACACAGAACTCCCCTGTGGTATAGTGACCAATAATGGAATAGTAACAATAGTGGGTTATTTAGTTTTGTTGCCTTTGATAATGTCATTAATGTGAGAAATTTATTTTAAGTTGTAGGAAGTAAAAGTTAACTCTGAAGGTCAGAGTTTTGCATCAGTTGTATCCTATTTGGATGTCAAATAGATTAACAATACGAGAGGGTAATTACACAAAACCCCCCTGTGTATAGTGACCAATAATGGAATAGTAACAATAGTGGGTTATTTAGTTTTGTTGCCTTCGACAATGTCATTAATGTGAGAAATTTATTTCAAGTTGTAGGAAGTAAAAGTTAACTCTGAAGGTCAGAGTTTAATTTTAAGTTCAAATAGTTCATCTTTAACTTCTGATACTGGCGCTGCATGCGGGTTTGCCGCTGATTTCCTTTTATTTTACCAAGTAGACTGTTAGATCAATTTCATTCTGTCCAGGTTGAGATTGTGCTTAGATGTGTATGATGTACCCATGGTCAAATGGTTATGTATTGGCTGTAATCCAACATATAGATTAGCGAACTGCTCTTATTTTTTATGCCTAGATTTTTCGTCTTGTACAATTTTATGCATTATTTTCTCATAGTGAAACAAATTCTTATCATTATACGTTTGAAAAAAGTTCCTCTACAGTCTTCTGCTTTATTTATTGTTTGAGATCTTTCGTAACATGATAGTACTGCTTTTATTCTAGCTGGGCTTGTCGATATAGTTCCTTGTTTAGTCATGCATACCAGAGTGACATCTTTGTTCTGATAACTAAGGTGTCTTCTGAACCACTTATTGGTGGTTTGTAAATGACAGTAGTCATTTTTGTCTCTGGTAGGTGGTGGAGGACCAATCATGGGTGATCTATGGGCTTTAAAGGGTCTTATTGAAGACGGTACCTCCTGTTTTCCTACTTAATGGTTTTTTTTTTCTTTTGTAGCTTTACTTTGTTGCTTCTCTTGTGAGTTAATCCTTTTCTCAGTGCTTGTGCTTTTTTTTTTCTTTTTTTTCCTTGAAGGTGGGGGGAAGATTTCCTCCATATTCTGTGTTAAGGGGCATATTTTCTGTTTTTGGTTTTTGTTATGAAATCATTGTGAAGTTTACATTCATCATTTCTGTGCCAAGTTTCTTAAATGTGATGTTACTTTCAAAATAAACAAAAATCACATTTTGGTCCCCCCTGTCCCCTTACCTTCCCCTTTTGAGTAACCGTCTTTGATGTATGGGGTCTTACTACACCACAAGCAGAGGAAATAAAATAACTATGTGACTTATCGAAGAGTTGTTCATCTTCCAACTACTTTACAAAAGGATTAGAGAGTGAGCAATTTCACATATGTGACTTAAAGTTTGTTACAGTCCAGGTTGGAGTAGGCATTTAATGCTTACACTTCTTTTAGGGGAGGAATATAAAGCATTTGCTGCAATTTACTTGAAATAAAATGCCAAATTGAAATACCTTTGCCATTTGTATCTCTTGAGTTCTTTATTTTTTCCTTTCGACTTGAATTTACTATTCATAGTATTCACAGTGTATGTTTGTTTTTCTCACATCTTGTATTCCATGCCTGTTAAGGCTTAATGGTACATAATTCCTTTGATATTGCTCTATCACTATAAGCAGTTGCAAAGAAAAGCAATCAATTAATTTATTTGGAACAATCACCTGAGCTTCTGCACTTGTCCTGCTGACACCTGGTAAACTTTACTGGGGTTTCTAGGAATAAACAAGAAGGAAGTTATAACGAGTTAGGAAAGCTTAAAAAAAAGTAGACATGGAAATGGAAGTAAATGACACATTGTCTTTTCGTGAATAAAATTTTGTTTGTCTGATGCCTTGCTATATACCATCACATGTTTGATCCGTTGTGCTTGTCAATTTAAACTGATTAATGTGGAAAACAAAAAGAAGCAAGTCTTTTTGGATGTATTCAACAATCTTTTAGTTTATAATTTATGACGTAGGCAATTGTATGTACCATTTCAGTAGATTGTTAGTTGTATTTTTGTGGCAGCATATTAATTTCTAGGTGATATAACATGTCGCCTTAGGTGGTTATTATCCCTTGTTGTATATTCTTAATCTGTAAAACGAGTCAGTGGACATATTTGTCTTTTCTTGCTTGAATTGCTTTGAAGCTGGTTTTTGGGTGTGCATCAGTGCTTGAACGTGTGTCATTTGGGCCCTTTGTATTTGAAAGATCACATTAACAGTTGCTTCTATATTGACACTGTGTTCTAGTTTTCTTGGCATTATTTAATCATCTCTGTTAGGCTTCACAGGATATATTTTGAAATTGAAGGCTTACTAAGTTGTGTTGTGTCTTTTATTGTGGAAGGAAGAGAATGAAAGTCCAGGTTGGACTCAATTGAAGCTTCCTGGTCAAGCTCCTGCAGCCAGTTGCGGGCATACTGTCACATCTGGGGGGCCTAATGTAATTACCTCTGAATATTTGAAATTGTAGACGCTCTCTTAGCCCTGGTGAACTTGCTTTATAATTTCTTTTGATGTGTAATCTGGATATGAAACAGAAATTCTATGAAGTTTGAATGATCTGTCAAGTTGCATAAATTTTCTTAGACATACCACAGCTTTTGATGCCTTCACAATTACCAAGAGAGGCTACACTTGAATATTTTAATTTTGGAGGGGATTACTTATATGATTAGTTGAAGTTAAGATAATGTCCAACATGAGGGCCTTTTGATTGATTAATATTTTCATGTTGAACTGTTGAAATAGAATCTCTCCTGTACTGTGTCAATTACCAAGGTTGATCAAGTTTGAGTCCCTAATATCTTTCCGTTTCCACTAAGTAAATGCAGAGTTTTTTTTTTTTTTTGGCCAAGTTGCTACAGCAGAATTTGCTTTACTCAGTTATTGGACATTTATATTTAATTTTTGCTTTATAAGACTATCAAATAGGCAAGCTTTTTGAAAATCAAACTCGTGCTTTTAGCTTGAAAATACAAAAGCAGTGGATGCTTTTCTTCCTTTTATATAATGTATAACTTTATAGGAGAATTGTAGAATGCTTGGTTTTTGATGTACTGCAAACATGTTCTGCTTTGGGTGTCTTAGTTAGCCAGCAAATCAAGCATTAGGCCCCAATTATTCATGCCATTTGGGTGTAAGTTATATCTGCCTCCTTAATGACCAGTTCTGGAGTTTTAGTTTCTCCAGTGTGGGAACAATAGGCATATGTTTATTTTTTTGCCTTCGAGTTGTAAATCTATGTGTAGTTTAATCTCTTGTCATCCCATAGACATTTATGTATTTATAGCCATATTACTTTAATATGAACAGTTTCTCCTTGTTTAGACATCTTGATTTGATTACTTGCTTGGCTGTCAGATTAAGGTTGTGTTTGTGGTACTTTGTTTTAAACCTAAAACATCCTCTTTGCAGCTTTTATTATTTGGAGGGCATGCAACTGGTGGCTGGTTGAGTCGCTATGACGTTTACCACAATGATTGTGTTGTTTTAGACAGGGGTTAGTTACATTTTATCAAATTTTTGGATCAGGGGAGGTTTCCATTTCCTTGCTCAACCAATTTTGAGCTTTGTTTTGTTGAATGCATCCTTGTCCTCTCTATCAATCTCTCTCTGTCTCTCATTGATGTTTGTCTTATGCTCTTCTGGCTGTCTGCTTTTAGTGTCTGTACAATGGAGACGCCTACCAACTAACAATGATCGACCAGCTGCTCGAGCGTATCATTCCATGACTTGTATTGGTTCACGATATTTACTATTTGGTGGGTTTGATGGAAAATCAACCTATGGTGATATTTGGTGGTTGGTTCCAGAAGGTACTGTGAATATTAACATCAGGAATATATCTCAGCTCAAATTGTTTAATAAACTACTCTGTTGTCTGTTTCCTGGTTCAATTGATTCAAGTCAATCACGCTGAATAAGAGAAACTTTCAAAGAGGGATATTGATTTTTTTCAAGTCCAGTTTGTAAAATGGTTTTGGTCTGTCTTGACTATTTTGACTGGTCATTGACTTGGATGATCTGAAGATCATGTTAAGTTCTAACAGCACTTTTTCTTTTAACAGTCTTTTATGGTTCAGATTTTTCTAATGCCATCCACAAAAAATTGAAAGAGGTCTATTTGGCTGCTCTATGTTTTGATAGCTGCAATTTAATTCTTTTCTGGTGGTCAGATCACAGATGATCTGGATATTTTGTGTCTTCTGTGTTAGTGTTTCTGTAGGATAATATGGATTGCTAACAAAGAAGATTGATGCTCTTTAATCCATCAAACGATATGGCATTTCTTCAGGTCCTATTTCTTCCTGGTCCGTACTCTTTCATTCAGCGAACATAGATAGGCTGGAATTAGATAACTTTTGAGTAGGTGACGGGACTTGACACTGACGTGAGTGGATTCCTTAATCATAGAAATTTGGATATAATCTGAAAAGAAAGCATCAACAAGAATGAACTGTACATGCAATAGCATAGTTGAGTCTTGACGTGGTTTTGAAAAATGAGATGAAATTGTGGAAAGAGGAATAGACTAATATTTCAGCTTCATGAGATAAATGTTCTTGATTGCCTTTTGATTATTTTCCAGTTGTTTTTATATTTGGAATTCAACTTTCCTGTTTGTTTCTGCTTTCTTTGCTTTGCAGAGGATCCTATTGCAAAGCGTTTGACAATGTCCTTGCCTGCAGTTATTCCTGAAAATAAAAATGCTTCAATAGCAAATGATAGCTTCATCTCCCAAGACAAGGTAACTATCCAAAAGTGGTGGCGTACACCATCCTTGACTATGCTCTTTATTGGTCAATTCTTTTTGCCAAGTTTCAAGTTGTAGAATCGGTTTGAGAGTTTGTTGCTTTTCAAGGATTCAATTGGACAAATGATGGAAGATATGTTCTCTATTCTTGTTTGCATCAGTTGAGAGTGCTTGATTGGCTCCAGTGCCTCATTCATCCAAAGAAGATGCCAGTATAACTCTTCTTACCATCAAGTGTAGGTTGGGGAATTGGATTGGAAAAATAGATAAAAATTAAAAAAAGCCACTGGATAGTAACAACTACGCATACATGTAAAGCCTACTTGATAAGCTCTTCTTGCATTTGGTTGGTGAGGACCATTTACATGTGATGTGTTTAAGATGTTATTTACATTAGTTGGAGTCATTTGAACTTGCTCCTATTTGAAAATGGCAAAAACTTGGGTAGACCTGGTCTTGTAGACCACGTGGCCCAAATTTTGCCACAACATCAGACCAGGTCTGCCCAAGTGTTTGCCTTTGAAAATTATGCATACTTTGCATGAAGTGGTAGAAATGCAGAGAAGGCCTTCGAGGTTCGCTGCTAAATTTGCATTACTATCTTACAAGATGCTATTGATTTTTCAAAGGAATGCGATTTCACCAACTTCCAAGCTGGAAGTTTCGTGTATCAAGCTTAAATATTGACTGTCTTGTTATTTTGGGTTTCATACAGGAAGGCCAAACTGAAGGATCTATATTCTCAGAATTGCATAGAAAGTTAGAAGTTTCTGTTTCGCTTAATCATCATAAGCTAATCATGGATGAGCTGGAGGACAGAGAATTTGCTGAACTGGCTTCACAAGTTAATGGAGAAAAGTTTCCCAGCAATGTACAGGTTAAAGATAGTTTGATTGTATGATTTGCATCATAGTTGGTTACATCTTCGAAAACATGTGTTGGCTATGCACGACTTAAACTTTGTTGGTTTGGCTGTGCAGGCACTTCGTCACCATTGGAAAATGTCCTCACCAGAGTCTATACAACTGAAAGAGCTTAGTCCCTTACTTCGTGACTACCAACGCCTAATTATCCGTCATCATCTGTAAGAATAAGCAATTGCATATTGTTACTCGTTGGTCTAACATCAATTGCAAGTCTTTAGAATGATTTGTTTCTACTTATTTTTTGCATGCTTTGCAAAGTAAATTCCTGAAAGTATTTTTCTCTTCAAAGTTCGCTGTACAACAGTACAATAACTAGTCAGAAAGGTAAAAAATGTTTAGAGAATAGGATTAAGATTTGGTTACTTTGTCTATTTTTCCCTGCTTTTGCGAGAGAGAATGCCTGCTTGGTCTACTTTGGTTGGCCTAATGAGAAATATGACTATGTCAAGAAGAGAGACCTGCTTTGCTACAGTGGGGCTAATTCATTCAATAAGAGTGATTTTTTCGTCTTTTTCATATTTTAGCTTTATGACTAGGAATAAATGCTTCAATTTACTTAAATTTAACATATTGATCTAATTGAAGTAGAACCTAGTCAATTACTTCTCCTTCTGTATTAATTCTACATGAATCAGAAGCCAGCCACTAACATATCTCTTTTGGGTACCATGCTATCTTTTGTATCCTTTTATAACTTACCAATTGGGAATTGTGAAGAACCTAAACAGACCCAAGTACAATAATAATTGGCATAATTGATCTGTCTTGCGGTAAGGGTTTACTTCATTATTCTCCTTGAAAAGCTTTCTTTTCCCTCCCCCTGATAGTGCACACCATGTAAGCTGTCCTTTTTACATGACAAAAATGCTCTTTTTTTAAATTTACTCATTAGGTTCAGGTAATAGTTGCTTTAATGATTGTGGATTTATCGAAGAGACAACTGCAGGACTTCTAAAGGAAAAGAGAGAACAATTCAGCAACTAATGATTAAATTTCTAACTACCATGTTGTCTTCATATGAGAGTTACCCTTGCTGGGTAACCATTTTTTTTATTCTTTTTTTTTTGGTGGAAAAAAAATTCTTACTTTTAAGCAATAAATAGAAAAGACGAGAAAAAATAACTTGAAGTGAAGTTGGGATGGTGATTGTTTCTGCTTGTCGATAGTAGACCCTTCATCAGGGCTGACCTTGTCATCAATTATAAACTAATGCCCCAAATCTTCTATGGACTTTTTCAACATTGTGGATTAAAAATCTGTTCTGTGAAGCTGATATAAATGCTCTGGTTCTTCACATGAATGACTGGTCTTTCTACCTTTTCTCTTTGACAGAAACAAAGTTGATTTGAAGTCACAGCCTGTGGAATCTGGCTTTCCTGAAAGAGAGACTTTCCGGTACTATCATATTAGAAATGCTATGCAGGTATTAGTTTCTTAAAGCTTTCTCCTGCTAGTCAAATTTGTCGTATGCAGCATTTGAGTCCTGATGGCTTCCATTCATTGCTGCATTTGAGGGGGGTCTGTCTTCAGCTGCCTTCCACAGAAAATCCTTCATAGGACCAGTGTTTTGTAAAGTTTTCTATGGCAAATGACTACAGTATGTATTCGTTTATAATTCCTAAGGAGGCAGAAAGCATGGGTTTAATGCACCATATTAAAAACTGAACTTCATTCCTTGTTGAAAACCAAAAAGAAAACTATGCAGATTAAGAAGAAAATTCAAGAAAGAGAAGCACCCTTAAAAGCTACACCCAGTTTTGTCCTTTGCAAAGTCTTGTGTAGTGTATGCATAGGCTCAGATAGTGTGTCTGCCTTTTGTTTAAGTATTTGAAATAGATGAAGGAGAGGACAGTGGCAAAGCCTCACAGCCGCTTAAGAAAATTGGAATATCAGGTAGGGGCACCGTGGCAAAGGTAACATAATTATTTTACTTCTGGTAAATTTCGCGGCACAATCGAACTGAAGAAATTTGATTGACATATTGTTGTCTGGCTGAAATTGATTTTTGTAAACATAGCATATTAGCACAAACCTTTTGATCCTCTCCAAATTGCAAGAAAATTGGTGAAGACCGTCCTAGTTTCAGAATTGTGGTATCTTATATTATAAGAAGTATAAAGAGTATAGTACTCCATACAGCTTCGTCTGGTTGAAGAATTACTTTGACACAGATTTGGTTTGCATGATTTATTATCTATCTATTGGAGTCTGTTTAGAAAATTTTCAAACGGAACTGGGCCCGGATCTTTTTATGGCCTTAAGGATGTTATTATCAGAAAATTGTGAATTGGAGAAATGGGTCTAAATGCCTGAAGTGATCACTTATCAACATGGAGAATATAGCTGTGAATATTATCAAGGGCCTTCGATTGAATGTGTCCTTTCTGTCTCTTTTTTCTGCTGATAGATGCTGTATTTTACTTAATCACACGCATTAAGAAGTTCACATACATGGAGTCCACAACTTACACAAGCTCACACTTTCTCAAGTTGGTGCATTCCCAGGCAATGAGCTTCTTTCTCTGCTCAGTCTCATTAATATTTTCTTTTTGAATTCTTTGCAGCTGCGCATTGATGATATCCCAAGTTTACTGGCAGAGTACAAGGAGCTGTTATCATATGTAAAAGAAAACTGAAAGCTTAAACAGAATTCTGTGAAGCATTGTGAATTGGATCTTTCATTTTCTAATTGCCTTGTTAAGGTATTAGATAGCTGTTCATTCCCAAGTGCCTGACGATGTCTGTTTTCTTCAGCTTAAACAGGCAACTACATATTATACCTATTTGTGAACTGGCGGAGCAGACTACGAGTTAATGGATCTTCTCTTTGTGCAACATTTCATTTGTTTTAGACTAGCGAGGATAGAAAAGTCAATGCAAAAGTAACGTTAAAAAAAAAAACTTGTTCTGCGAGTCTCTTTTATTTTGGATAAGGTTCTGTGACTCTGTTGAATCTCATTTTCTGGGTGGAATTCAGGATTGCAAATGCCAACTATGTATCTTGATTTGTTGGAAGTTTGTATTAGAAGCTTCAGACTGGCTTTATTTCCTTCTCCTTCACGGTGATGTGGTTCGGGCGTTGCATAGTTCACAACACTCCACTCACTTTTGGCTACAACAACCTTGAAGAAAATCAGCTTCCTCAATGTAGTTGTTGAGGCCAGATTTGCTTATGCAAAACTGGATTCGTGACTAGAATTCTTTACAGCACACAGCCTACACAAACACACATACACTGGCAGCACTCAAGCGTTTCAGTACTTGTTATTATGTACCCATTAATGCAGTGTTCTTCTAGTAATAGTTAGCAAGATGCTTCCTCATAAAACAAGAAAAGGAAAAAAGGGAACACAAGTTGGCGCCAATACATAATACTTTACAGAAACTCTTTATGGCAGAATTTGACCAGTATTAGCGGGCAGTGCTGACAAATTTGCTGAGCTCCTCAAGCTTTCTCATTCTCAGTTTCTCGCTTTCGTTCACCAGCTGCAACGTCATGAGGCGGGGAGGAAACAGCAGAAAGGAATTAGGATTAGATCAACAAGGACTTGTAAAACTGGAAAAGGGTGGATGAATATACAGTGCCTCCAAATGGAGACTGGCTCGAATTCGAAATCGATATTCACCTCCATTAACGTGGTCGTTAGTTGGGTTTTTTCGTTGCTTTTCTCTTGGAAAATATCCAAAACTTCCTTGTATTCTTTCTCCTGTTGAGCGTTTCACACCACTCGTTATATGATGCACCAAAACAATATGATGGATTATAATATATACATGGCTGATGCTCAATTTACCTTCTTTTGGCAGGCCTGTCCTAGTGATTTCAGTTCTCGATTGACCAAGTCGATTCTTTTGCGGGCAGCTGCCACTTCCTTCTTCATGGGATCCGTCAAAACCTCAAGCTCCTGCTAGTTAACAATTACCAAGAAATAGATGATTTCGTGCTAGATATTTTAAATCCAATCATGAATCACAAAAGTAGGTCGAGTTTCTTATGAGTTCTCCACATGAATTTTTTGTTACCTCCCATATCTGTGCCAAACGCCTAGTTTCTTCCTCAGCACGGTTGAGCTGAGACTCCACCCTCTCTTTCATCTCCATCTTCTTCCTCTCGATCTCTTCTTCTCTAGCTTGAAATGATGCAATTGCCATCTTCGCTATCTCCTCATCATCATGATCGTCCATCGATGACCTCCCGCTGCTTCCTATACTTGCAATGTTCTTCATTCTCCGAGTACTGTAGCACCAGTTCGGTTTCTTTCCAGGCAAACTGGACACGCCCGCAAGAATTAAGACATGAGAATCATCAGTTGGTTTCTACAGCCATGGGTTTCTTTCCTTTTGTAGAGCGTCCTCTTTATCTACTTTTGCTTTCGCTTTAAAACTTTCTATCTGTCTATCTCTGATCTCTTGCTTACACTTGAAACTATTTGGGTAAAAGCAAGCTCTTTTGTGATTCTCATCATCTTTAAAAACATTTGTAACTGTGTTGAGGAGGACCAACATGGACGCTTAATCTGCTGCCGGAGAATTATGTACAGATTTTGGAAAACCACGAGAAATACATGATTTTTTGTCCTGCTATATACTACATATTTGTTGCATAAATGAGCTTAACTATTGGCCATACCTGCAAATATATTAGTAATATCCCAAAGTTTGCTTGAAGCATGGGAAAGTTCGTTGAAGGCCAACCAGCTTGTGATTTTATCGGAATCAGTGTGACCATATATCAGGTAAAGAGGCTTTGTACCTTGGCTCAAAAGCTAAGGCAGGTTAAAGAACAAAAGAATAGGAATCCAACTTTTTATTGCGACGAACGAGTTTAACTTTGGTGCAGGAGTGGTAATACAGGGTTACTCGCACCAACTTTGTCGGTACTATTAATGTGTTCTTCCATCCTTCACAAGGCAAATTCTTTGGTGCCCCGTAAGGCATGGTTCAAAGAATCAGCCGAGTGATCATCGAAATGAAGCTTTTCATTTTGATATCGGGACAAGATGACTTCGAAATGCATGAATCGCCGAGAACTCAGTCAAGAAGTCACCGACAAGGATAAAGACGGTCGAATCGTTTCGAGTCATTTCGAATCAAGTCAAATCCAATCAAAAAAGTATATTTTACAGATTTTCTTTTGCTAATTTTTCTTATTTTTTTTAGCATATTTTTTTATATTATTCACAATTTTTAGAATATTAAATGCTTCAAAATTTACTTCTCGCTGAAATCGCAACCGATATGTCGAGACCGATGTGAAACGGTTGGGGCCGTGACCATGATTTTGAACCATGCTACGAGGGTACCTTGCTTTTCCAGTTTTTCGCATGCGCTGACTAGTAACAAAAGTTAAGAAATGAGTGTCAAAAAATGTTAAATTGGTACTCACTAAAGGATATAGTGCTTATGTGACAATTAGTGATTTAATTTCTGCATTGTCGAATTCATGTGTACTAGGACTCTTTTTGTTATACTGCTACAAGTTTGGTAGATTGGGGCGTTGGAACAATTTAGATGTAGCACTATATGGGCGCACAATCAACTTGTGTTCTAACTTGAGCAAAGCATGTACAAATGCAAGCTCACCTTGTGTGAATTGCTATTTTTTGAAAAAAGAAATTATATTTTTTGTGAATATATTTTTTAATTAATTTTTTTATTTTACATTCATTAAATTATTATAATATATTTTCTACAAAAATTTTAGAAAATAACAATTCAAGCGGGGTCCACTGCACACAAGGAAGGCGTGCAATTTTAGTTAACCTGAACCATACAAATTTGGAATTCGGATTGGTGATCCAATCGGGATAGCGAGTCAGCGATTCTCCTCTAACCGTTTAAAGAGGCGCAAATTGTTTGTGCACCTCTTCAATGGATCAACAACAATAGACTTTTGGTCCAGTGGCCCAGTATCGTACCCCTTTCAGTATTTTGTGTACATTTCAAGATTATACATGTACATTAAAATTTTATATTCAGGCCTACAAGCAATATAATTCTTTTTTTTTTGTATTTATTTGTAAAATTATATGAATGTACGCTAAATTAAATTAAAAAATATATATAACAACAACCACGACAATGACACCTGAATCTTAATCGTACTTGCCCAAGGATGTTTGGTTAATTAACAACTTGCCTTCAGCAGAGAAAACCTATTGACATGAGTAAATTAACTTTTTTTTTTTAATCTTTTGCAGCAATAATCCCTGGTATATTGATTATCCAATACATACAAAGACATTATTTTATCGTCATCTTAGTCCAAAATTAAACAACAAATTCAGTGCAATGAATCATGAGACTAAGATTTTTGGAAAGCTTATAGAAAATTATTTTAGAAGGAAAATATTCGATGCTGTGAGTCATGACACTAAGATTTAGCAATGGTCAATGGGTTAAACGGTTTGACAAAACAACAAATAGGAGCAACTCAAGGGCAGCAGGAAGCGTCTTCCTTGTAATAGAATAGGATTTTCCTTTCTCCCGTAACTCCTCCTTGTAATAGAATAGGATTTCAAAGAAAATAAAATTGACACTAAGATTTTTGGAAAGATTATAGAAAATTATTTTAGAAGTAAAATTATTCTTTTATCAGCGACTAAACTTTCGCTGATTGTTTTAGTAAGTAAAATTCTTCCATAACCGACTAAAATTTACTGACCGTCAGCGAAGGCTACAGGGAATAGAGATAAGACATGTCAGCTAGTGCTGCACAAACGAATTTCCTGTGATGATGTTTGACAGGATAGAAATGCTAAAAAAACCCCCCCTTAGTTACTTTTTCCAAGTCTAACACAATAATGATATCCACTATTACAACTTGTAGTTTGCCCAAATTTTTACCTTCTCTAACCCAAGGGAAAAAAAAATTACAACCAAAAAAGGAAAAAATATTATTTGCAAATATCTATCTTCCTCCTACTCAAAAAGAAAAAAAATGTGAGATGTATCCTTCTAAATCTAAATATAAAAAGGGAAATTGTTCAAAATGTCACTCATATTCTATTAAATGAATTTTTTTTCGTTTTAGAAATTGTTAAGTTTACCTCCCTTCTAAATTTAAGTTAGCGAATTTTAGTTCCAACGCAAGTTTTCAACCATGTTTTAACCTGAAAGCACCAGGTGACAACATGCAGTCACATATATCATGCGACTCAAATTTTGCGTTGATTAGATGGTGTGACAAAATTTGAGTCACATGCTTCCCATAAACCGGATCTATCCTAGTATTTTCAGTGGAGTAATGGTACAAAGGTTTAAAAAAAATGGCAAAAACTTGAGTAGATTTGATCTTGTTGACCATGTGATCCAATTTTGCCACATTTTGTATACAGGGTTTATCTAAGTATTTTCAACAAGGCAATGGCACGGAGGTTTCAAAAAACGGCAAAAACTTGGGTAGACTTGGTCTTCTAGACTATGTATACCAATTTTGCAACATTTTAATTCTTGAATTGGTGACATAGTATAATAAAATTTGGGTCACATGATCTGCACCAGATTGAATTTATCCAAGTATTTTTAGTGGGATAATAACACAAAGGTTTCAAAAAATACGTACCACTGTGTTTGACCATCTAGTCATATGTTTCTCCTAGGAGATAAGAAAAAATGTAAAATAAATAAACACCTATTTTCCTGTGGCCGATGAGTGACGCCTGATCGAGTTTTGAAACCGGCATCTACCTTTCCGATAATACCCTTAGCACATTCACATATTCACCCATTTAGCCTTCTCCCAATTTACTTGTTGCACATAAGACAAACCCTATTACATTTCACAAATCCAAATAATTTTTCCTTAATTTTCTCTTTGGAGAGAGAAATTAAAATTCTCAAACAACGAATCTGCAGCTCCATCGATCAGAATATTGCTTCAATTTCAAGGTAAGGTAATCCAATTGTTTTTTTGGGGGCAAATTTCGGAGTTTTGATATTAAACCCTAATTTCTTAATTAGGTCTCGTTTGACTATCTTGTTTAAGCATTTAATTTCTTCTTCGTTAGTCTATAATGGGTGAACCATATGGGATTTTCTGGTGTTTTTCCTGTATTAAGCTCCTGCTTCTCTAGGATGAGTTCCCCTTTTAACCTTGAACATAAGTTGATAAAAATTTTAAATTGATCATTTTTTAAAATCTAAGACAAAGGGTTTTGATGGATTCTTGGAGTAAAGTTATGTGCATATGTGGAAATGGTATTCCTTTTTTATTTTGGATTTTGATTGTTGTAGGGGTTGGGGATTTGATTGTGGTTTATGTGCTGAATTTGGTAATTTTTGGCATCTACTTGAAATCTCGGTTTAATCCTTCAATATTTGGAATTGTTTACTTGAAACCCTGATCCTTGTTAGATGGAGGAAATGTTTAGAAGATAAAGATTTTAACTTCTATAGTTGGGTTTAGAAATGAAGAATGTATGGTAAGTTAGTTATTTAAGACCTTTCCCTGTTTTCGGCAGACGAAGAATCAATAGCTTTCTAGTAACTTGTCCTTTTCGCATAGTTTCAAGAAATTATGCATCAGAAGCCATTCTCTAGTCTTTTAGTCAAAGTCTTGTCATCCAAATTGTAGCTGTGGTTTGTCAAGCGATAAGGGAAAACATGTTATTAGTTACAATGTCAGATTTCTTAGTATAATAGCTTAGGGGTGATAATGATAAACAATGTCTCTGTTACTTATGTTTGACCATTATTTGACTCGCAGGGTTGTGCAACTTGTGGGCATATGAGATCTTACAGGCCATCTACTTTGAATGCTCATTATAAGATGCGTTTTGAGGCTATGCGAACGAAAGAAAAGAGTAAACCTGAGAGAAGAGTACATGGCGTAGCCATCCACGATGATGCTGGACGGAAGGACTTCTGTGATATCTCTTTGAGGATGCTGAAGAGAGCATCCCCCTATAGCTCAACTGTTTTGGATGCATATACTGGAACACAGAATGTTAATGCTGTAGGTAGGGAAGGTAAGAGACAAAGAGTGGATCAAGCCACTTTCAGGAGAAAGGTAGATGCTTTTGCTTACCCGGGAGTTAGTCCCATTGAGAAATGCACACACAATACCTTTTACAAAGGAGTAAGTGGATATTATGACTTGAACAGAGCTAAAGTCAATACTGCTGTTACTGGCTCTAATATTGCTGCGAGTTCAGAAGATAATGATTTTGATTGTGATGCTTCTTCTGTCGGGAGTTGTAGTGCTAGCAGTATGAGGGCAGATAAGTTTTCTAATTTTGCTGTAGCAGTTCCTTTCCTAGGTACAGATATGCTTTCCACTGATGCTGAATCTTATTGCCGTTCCTTTGATGAAGTGGAGAATCTCTCTCATTGTTCCGAAGAAAGTGTAGAAGTAAGTATTCATAAGTTAGAGTTGCATGCTTATCGCTGCACTCTGGAGGCATTATATGCTTCTGGCCCATTAAGTTGGGATAAAGAACTATTATTGACTAATCTCCGCATTATGCTCCATATTTCCAATGATGAACATTTGACAGAGCTGAAGAACCTTATTCCGTCTGGTAGTACTCAATAGCCTCTCCAGATATTATTCTTTCTATCGACAGAGGATCTTATATTGTCCCTTTTCTTTACTCAACTGTATGTCAAGCAAGATAACTTAATGTACTTGGTTTATCCTTCTTGGATAATCAAATTTGGTCCATCTATAGAGTTCCTGACAATGTAATTAGGTGTCAACAATTTTCAAAGAAGTGAATGTATTTAGATTGGTTCTTGTTTACTCCTTTTTTGTTTTTAGCAGGTTATGCTTGATATACTTACTGTAATTGAGATGCATATCAGGTGATGGAACAATTTTTTTAAGCTTTAAGCTTAAAGCAGTAGAAGACCTGGTGCAGGTTATTGAAATCATAGTGTCTGATCTAGTGTTACTACTGCAGATTAAACATATGATCCATGATTATTCTTGCAGATAAGATAGAATACTTTTTTAGCATTTCCATTTTTCCTTAAAGATGAATTGAATCATGCAGCTTCCAAGAACTATGTCTGTAATTCAAGTATGTTCATTTTTCTTTGAAACTAGGTTTTAGCACCTTATTTTTTGTTTGGTCCGTTGCATCCATTGTCAATGCCAATTCAGAAACTAACTGAATTGAACAGCTAGTTCAAAACTGTTCATTGGTATATTTTGGGAAAGGGAAGCTTCAGTTGACTACCGGCCTTGTGGCCTACAATTGAATAGAACTCTCAGACATTTGTTTAATAAGTTAATACTTGCTGTGTGCTAAACCTCCTTGGATTGTATTCAATGTTGAATATTGGCCACTTTTGTAAGTATGGTGAGCTTCAGAGTCTTTGCAGTCCACAGCATTTGCGGATGTTTAATAAGCATCAAATGTATGAGATATTCTGTGCAGTTTAGCTTGATTCAATCTAATTGTTTGATAATGTGTGTATGATCTTTTTGATATGTTATTGACAGTACTCTTTCCCAGGGCTGCATTCTGAAGCATGCATCCCCTGCCTAGTTGCTTCCAAAGTTTTGATGGTGATGCAGGCATTTGGCTAATCAACCTCATTAAATTGTTCTGCCCAACCTTACCTATTTTTGTGATAGCATCAACATTTTTTCTGCTGAGGGAAGTTAATGATTGTTATCTGCTACTCCTCCCTGATTGTATATATATTGTTAGTTTGGCTAATTATTGGTTTCTTTGCATGTGTTTGCTTAGATGCATTAAAGTTCATTTTGTCTTTTATTTTCATTCGACTATTGGATTTCTACTATAACACTAACGGCTTAAATTTGCTTTTGACTATTAACAAGTGAGGAAGTGACCTTGCTTCCATGTTCATGGTGCTGTGGAAAGCAATTAAACTAAGCTTTTCAGAATGGAAATGATTTGAATTGCCTTGTACATTGTCCATCGATTTTCCGGTTTTCTTCAAAGGCGAGAGAGATGAAATACTTTAGTAAATCATTTGAAATGCCTTGCATATGTTTGCTTCTATTGCTTTCAAAAGTGGTCTTTTTCAGTTGAGAGATCTATTGTGTACTGCTCGTGCTGTAGTTGAGGAGAATTTAATTCATTGTGTAATACAAAGACACGAAGTTATGTGAAACATGGGGTTAGGGTTGGGATCTTCAACTATAAGAGGTCCCCTGCACTTGCAATTTGGCCAGATTTATTATTCCATTGCAGAATCGGGCTAGTCATGTGTTTCTGTTGTTTTTGTTTTGAAATTTAAGTAGTTGGTGGTTTGCAACCATCTTTTGCAAAAATCCCTTGAATAATGTTTAAAGTGCTCTCTTTGTGAAGTGCCTAGAAACTAGGGTTGAAACGAATTGATCTTTTTGGCATACTGGTGTTCGCCTTTTCCTTTTTCTTGTTTTGTTGGCAAATGACTCGGCAGACATTTAACTATTGGTGCTGATTATGCTTCTGGAAATTGGATGCTTTTGATAACCTTGAATATGAGCAGATCTTAGCACGATTGATGTGTTTTCTAGGGGTGGAATGAATTTTTCTATCTTCTTGTTCAACTGTACTGATTAAGGGTTTCCTTATATCAGGGCAGGAAAGTTGAAAAGTTCAAAGGTTTGAATGAGGCTTATAAGGAGTTGAGCATCTCCAGTTTCTTTTTGTCCCGAACGAAGAGAACCAATGGCAGAACTGCTCAATTCTCTTGCAGCTGCTTGGTGATTTTCTGCTTTTGTTGAATAGTACAGTTTCGTGTGCCTTTAGAATTTCTTTCTATTCATACTCAACCCTCGTGCATTTGTTTTCCAGTTTTGCGATTCACTAGCACGATTAAAGTTGGAGACTTGAAGGCTGACAGCATGTTGCCTCTTGGAAGATCTGGATGTGCCCAGGTGCAATGTAGCTGTCAGTCTTCATTTGTACGACTTTTCATAGAATAATTGTTTCGCGTTCACTTTCGCAATTGTGAATATTGGCAGTTTAGTCCCCACGAAGAGCTGTGACATCCTGGACAGACATTAACCTATTAACTTCTATCTTTTAGTTCAGCAACTAATATTAGCTCTGGCTTGTATAATCAGCAAGATAGACTATCCTGATGGCTTGCAATCACAAGGAAGTTAAAAACTAATAAAGACGCCTAATTTTGGGTACCTTCATTGATAGAAAGATTATTACGTTCTTAAATTGAAGTGAGGAACTTGTGGATTTCTGCTGCTACTCTATGCCCGTGTCGAATATTCGTCCATAAGGTACCATGTGTAGTACCTGAGCAATCAAGATAGCAGAAAGCAATAAACAATAGTCAAAGATGGCTTCTCTGAGCTTTGTGCCTTTACTATTGAATAACTTCGCATAAACAGTTTCCGATGGATTGTTTCACAACTTAAAGAAGCGATCTTATACTTTGGTTCGATGATAGTCTCGAGGACTGCGTTCCTCGTATTCCAAACTAGTGTCATTTCTAGTGAACTCGATGCATTCACAGACAAGTTTTATTCGTTTTATTTATCCACAAGACAGTCGGGAATTGAGTTATTCATCATCACCACCTGTTGAATTTTCGAAGACCCGATTCCAGCGGCCCAGGGCATCCAGAAGAGAATCTGAACACACATGTAAAGGGGATGTGATCCAGTGCTAGAACAGCATATCTACTGAGTTATACCTGTCTACCCTCCTGCAAAGTTCTACCATCTCTTCAACCACATCATCTATCTCTTCTTCTTGTCCTTTTTCTCTCATTTTCTCACTCAATTCTCTTACTTTTCCTCTGAATCTTTCACCAGTGGTGCTCTTTTCGTCGACCACCTTCCTTATCACGCTTGACACCTGTTCCTTTTCAAGAATTCCTTGCTTGTTTCTCACAACCTCTTCACCTATGCCTATCTCCTCCACCAGCCTAGCATTCAGTGGCTGGTCAAGGTGCATTGGCACCGCTACTATTGGAACTCCGAACTTGATGCCTTCCATTACTGAGCTCCATCCGCAGTGGCTCACGAATCCCCCGATGCTGGGGTGCTTGAGGATCCTTCCCTGTGGTGCCCATCCCTTCAGCACCATTGCTCGGTGTCCTACTCTCTCAAGAAATCCCTTTGGCAAGGCCTCTTTGAGGCTAATATCCTCTCCTACAGGGAACCTAATAACCCATATGAAATTAACATTGCTGAGCTCCAATCCAAGAGCAATCTTTTCCATATCTTCTCTGGACAAGAAATATTCACTGCCAAAGGAAGCAAATAGTGTGGAACCACGATTCTTCTTGCTAAGCCATTCGATGATTTTCGTGGGCGCGTCTTCAATTGCTGGCGCCTGAACGAGGGGACCAACAGGGACAATCTTTTTTTTTGACAAACGGGAAAGATAGTCGATGTATTTTCCCTCTATCTCTCTGCATGTCTTGATCAAAATCATACCAGATGACTGCTCCACACAATTAATAACTCCGTCTGAATCTTTGATGCCACTAGCAGTTGCATCAGCCATTCCAGTTAGCTTATTATTTTCATATTCTCTATAATATATGGAGGAAAAAGGATACTCCGAATCCGGGTTTAACTTATAGTGGACGACGTAGGAAAATGATGCTGCACCAGTAGAAATAAACGACACAGCTGGAATATTCTGGGCTGACGCCAATGCTGGTACCCATGGCAGGAGGAAATCATACAAAACCATGTCTGGCTTTAGAGTTCTGAGGATGTTATGGAAGCTAGGTTTGGCCATATCTACAGCTTCTTTGAGAGTGGGCATGAGGTTGGGTGGGAGGCCTTTGGTTGTGTGGTGGTGAGGAGGAAGTTCTGGCAAAGTAGGAACTTGAAGCTTTACTAATTTTATGGAAATGGAGTCCTTTTCAGAAAGATTCTGTTTGAGGGAACTGTGGTTGACTGGTGTAGAACAGACATAGATGTAGAAGTTTCTCTTTGTAAGTGCTTTGGCTAGCTCTAGAAAAGGAGATATGTGACCATGAGCTAACCATGGCAGCATTAAAATCCTGAAACTTCTCCTCCTTGTATCCATGAAACTGGAAACTTTTCTCAACTCTCTCCTTTCTTCAATATAATTATGAAAACATGTGCATGGAATTGGCTGCTTGCATATGATTTTATATTAACATATTCAAGAGGTAGAACTCTATTTTGTTGTTTTCTTTCTGCATGCATCCAAGCGATGTAGGGAAACGTGGCATAGAACATAGCAAAACATGATAACGTGGTGGCCTGGCGAGGGGTAAATTGAGAAGCTGGCTAGGGATCGGGATGGATTCCTTCTGCTGACTCCAAAGCTGAGACGTGGAAGAAGAGAAGCTGGCTAGGGATCCGGATGGAGTTCTTCTGCTGACGTATTTTAAACCTATGCATCCATCATTAATAGCCTTAAAGATAAGCTAGTATTAATGGCAATCTTTAATTGCTACTCCATTTTTATCGGGAAGATCTTTAGGTGACTGCTCTTGACAAAATTTTTCACATTTTGCTAGGATATCTAGTCCAAACTGATAGGATATGGTTAATTGGTTTTCATTACAAAGCTAAAATTTATTTTTCTATGGTACAAGAGTTCAGTTCATTATTCGTCAACCTATTTATGATTCTCTTCAAGAATATTTACGAGTCCATTTTTGTTTCGAGGGTTTTATCTGCTGGATTCAGTTTCAATTGATGGGAAATGGAAGCCTTAGCCAACTCCACTGATTTCCAACTAGTTCTCAGATGGAAGCTCAGATTTTTTATCTACTCTAAATGGTGATCATATCCGAATTCATATCAACATACTCGTAACATTTGAATAACTGAGAGCATACAAATGAGAATTTTCTGGAGCGTATGCATACACAAATGTAGATTAACCTTCCCACGTACACTATTGCATCAAAATTTTATATTTATATACTTGAATCCAAAATTTGTAGATTCTTGTACGTAGAGTACATGTAAATTTTATAGTGCAAACTTTCGTTTTCTCTCTTTGCAGTATCAGCACTTGCGTATAGCTCTTGTTAAACTCCATTTACACAAGTATTCATCTCTAAAAATAAACAAAAATCAACAAATTGTTTTTTTTTACCTCACATCTCTCACATTGATGAATCGTTATAATTGAAGCAATTTTCGGAAGCCATTGACCAGCAGCATCATCAGCAATTTCTCGCATGAGCCAAGGTTACGATGCCACATTAGTTTATGCCGATCAAAATAATCTGTAAATCTGTTAGATTTTCTCCATTTGCAGTTCCAGTAAAAAATAATCCTACAAAGGGCAAGGGGACAGGACTAAAACCTACCACTACATATAGCACAACCAAAAACTATGACAAAGAAGAGAGTATTAGCTTAAGTTTGTTGGAAAATTCTACTTGTGTGCTCGACTGAAACAGAAGAGAATCATTGAATATGAATCACAAAAATATCAAGATCCTGATGTTTCCATGGCTAGCTCATGGTCACATATCTCCCTTCTTGGAGCTAGCGACGAACTTAGCAAAAAGAAACTTTAGTGTCCAATTTTGTTCCAACCCGACAAATTTGAGCTCCATCAAGAAAAAACTTGCTGTTGATGGAAGTGAAAAATTTTCACAATCTATGCAACTGGTAGAATTCCATCTCCCAAACTTGCCCGAACTTCCACCCCATTACTACACAACCAAAAGCTTTCCTCCCCGTCTCATGCCCACATTGGAAAAGGCCTTTGAGATGGCAGAGCCGGACTTCTCTAACCACCTGAAACAACTGAAGCCAGATTCAGTCATAAATGATATCATCCAACCATGGGTTCCAGAAACTGCTTTGCAGCATAACATTCCAGCAGTTGAGTTCGTAAGCACAGGTGGAGCAATGACTTCTTCCATGTTTCATGCAATAAAAAAATCCAGGTGCAGATTTCCCTTTGCCAGAAATTTATGTTCATGATTATGAGAAATCCCAGATTGCTCATTTGATGGAATCAGCTTTGGACCCGGAGAAAGACAAAGACCGTCCGATTGAATGCTTGGAAAGGTCTTGTGACATCATTTTGATCAACAATTAAAGAACTTGAAGGGAAGTATTTTGATTATCTTTCTGTTTCTGATTTACTGGAGAAAAAGATTGTACCTGTTGGATCGCTTGTAGAAGATATTGTTGTTGAAGACCATCAGGAGATCAATACAAATACTGGTAGTACCTTAGATTGGCTCAATCAGAGAGACAAATATTCGACTGTTTTTGTTTGTCTTGGAAGTGAGTTGTTTTTGTCCAAAGAGGGAATGGAAGAGGTAGCCATTGGTTTGGAGCCGAGTGATGTTAATTTTATTTGGGTGGTTAGGCTTCCAAAAGGAGAGGAAATAAGGGTTGAAGAAGTATTGCCTGAAGGTTTTCTTGAAAGGGTTGGAGAGAACGGAATGGTGGTGTGAGGATGGGCTCCTCAGGCAAAGATTTTAAAGCATGAAAATATTGGCGGTTTTGTTAGTCATTGTGGATGGAGTTCTGTGATGGAGGCTATGAAGTCTGGTGTTCCAATTATAGCTGTACCATTGGTAAATGATCAGCCTGTAAATGCTAGAGTGTTGGAGAATGTTGGTGCAGGGTTGGAGGTTGTGAAAGATGAGTATGGCAGAATTCAAAGAGAAAAGTTGGCAGAAGCAATTAAACATGTCATGGGAGAGGAAACTGGAGAAACTCTGAGGAGGAAAGCAAGATCACTGAGTCAGAAAATAAGAAGCAAAGGTGAGGAAGAAATTGATGGGGTTGTAGAGGAGTTGGCGAAGGCTTGCAATAAATGAAAGAAATAAAGAAGCCTGGTAACTTAAACTTGGCTTCCAGACTTCCCCGTTGATCTCAATCCGTGTAAGATGGCTCAAAATCTAGCAGCCAGTATGCACCAGCCTAAGAAAAATTGCAGTATCATATTAAAGTAATGACTAGGAAATTTTAGTTAGAGACTGACTTAATTATTTATAATTAGATAGTCTAGCATTGCATTTTGTACTCAGTTCGTATCTCAAATTTCTGTTAGAGATGGAAATTGTGGTAATAGTTCCAATTTCAATTCTAATTTTGAGATTCAGCGCAGAGGAAAATATGATCAAATTTTTAGAGGAGGGAAAGACAGTAGTGATTCAAGAAGGGGAAATTAACTAGTTATTTATACTATTACGGAAATACTAGTAAAACTTTTTGAGTAATAATCCATCAACTAATATCTCAAATTAGCCACTAAAAACTTCTTGAAAGCAAAACTTGGGAACCTCATATATACTACTACAAGGCCCCCATAACAACCAAAACGAATAAACTCTCGATCAATCAGAAGTTTTTTACGTCCTTCATCTTTTTCTCGAGACAAAGCTGGACCAATTCATCCACCACTACATCAATCTCTTCGTCTCCTTTCACTTCAATCTTGTTTGACAGACTTCGAGCGCGTTCCCTTACAAGTTGGCCAATTTCTTCATGCATCACTTGTTTGATGACTGCAGCAACTTTCTCTCGCCCAAGAGTTCCATCATCCTCTCTCAGAACCTCCACACCAGCACCAACCTCTTCGATCAGCCTAGCATTGACTGGTTGGTCGAGGTGCATGGGAATGGCTACAATTGGGACGCCAGATTTCATACTCTCCATGACTGAATTCCACCCACAATGGCTCACAAATCCACCAACACTAGAATGGCCCAAAATTTTTGCCTGTGGTACCCATCCATCCACAACCATTCCCCTCTCTCCTACCCTGGCCAGAAACCCTTTTGGCAACGCTTCCTCAAGTTGAAGATTCTCTCCTTTTGGATACCTAATAGCCCATATAAAGTTAACGTTGCTAAGCTCGAGCCCGTGAGCTATTTCTTCCCTGTCTTCCTTGGACAGAAAATACTCAGTTCCAAAGCAAACAAAAACTGTTGATTTCTTTTCTTTTTTGTCAAGCCATTCCATGATCTCCAAATTATCATCACTATTACCATGGGTACTACTAGGGTCCTGAACAAGTGGACCAACCGGTACTACTTTCTTGCCAGATAACAGGGAAAGATAATCAATATATTTACCCTCAATCTCCTTGAAACTCTTGATCAAAATAATTTTGGAAGAGAGTTGGAGGCTTTGGACAACACGATTTATCTCTTTAGAACGAAATTTGACATCATCGTGCAACTTGTTGGCAAGAATAGCCTCAAGATCTCCGTGGAAAATATTCGAGAAGGGAAACTTGGTACCTGGATTGTTCTTGAGGACATGCAACATGAAGGAAGTCATCGTTGTACTACTGCTAATGAACTCAACAGCAGGGATATTAAGGGCTGATGCAGCCGTTGGTGCCCATGGCTGGAGCATATCATATACGAGCAAATCAGGCTCTATGGCTTCCAAAATCTTGATGAAGTTAGGACTTGCCATGTCAAAGGCCTGTTTTAGAGTGGCCATGAGATGGCTTGGAAGACCATTGGTTGTGTGGTACTCAGGAGGAAGGCCTGGCAAAGTTGGAAGATGGAGTTCTACTAGTTGAATTGACGCAGAAAAATTTTCAGCAAGTTTTGGCTTGATTGAAACCAGGCATGCTGGCGTAGAGCACAAGTAAACCTTGAAGTTTCTCTGGCTAAGCTTTTTGGCTAGTTCTAGGAAAGGGGAGATGTGTCCATGTGCCAACCATGGGAACATGAGAACACTGAAGGAGTCTTGGTGATATTCCATGATTCGGCTAGCTGTAGAACAATAACAGGAGAAGCTTAGTTGATTTCTTCCCGAGGGTTTTCTTGCTGCAGTGGAGAAAGTAATTTCGGTGCTTCGAAGGAGAGGGAAGGGACATATTTATCAAGGCTTTGGGCATTGCATAAATGGAAGTTTCTTCATTGATGGTAGATTTTTAATTATAGGAATAGAAATATTTTGTGTAATTTTCAGAATCAGAATGTTAATGGCAATACAGTCATGAATATGTCAAGTTTCCTTCCACGCGATAGATACTAAATTCTCCCCCTATTTGTGCAAACATATGCTGAAATTGAAGAAGGTTTTGAAGAGGCCGTTACTGAGATGGAAGAGAGACTA